CAGGCACTTTCTGTCTGTTTTGTACATGGCTGTAAAAAGGAGGCAGCAAAAGTGCTACTTTTCTTCATGCTGATGCACTGCAATTTTTTTAAAAAGATTTATTTATTTATTTAAAAGGCAGAGAGGCAGAAAGAGAGAGCAGCTGTATTTTTTCCATCCTTTGATTAACTCCCCAAATGTCCACAACAGCCAGGGCTGGGCCAGGCTTACGCCAAGAGCTAAGAATTCCATCCTGGTCTCCCACATGAATGTCAGGGACCCAAGGATTGGGTCCATCCTCCAATGCCTTTTCAGGAAGCAGGATCGGAAACACAGGAGTAGGTTCTCAAACTGAACTCGGATATGAGATGCGGAAGTCCCAAGCTTGACCCTTTGTACCACAGCACCCACCTCTCTAAAATACCATGCTGTAAAGGAAGGCTAAGTGTTTTCTCTGTCCCACTGCTTCAAACCAGACAGAAATGAAATACACAGAAACATTTTACATGTGTATGTGTATGCACATATCTATATATGACAATCTGTGAGTTTGTAATTTTATGCCTATGTACTTCATTTGGTTTCTGTACATGCTCATTTTTCTGGAAAAAAATTATATTTTTATTAGCTCTTTAAAGAAGTCCAAGATTCCCAGGACAGCAGCCTGGGCCTTGCATCCTGCTTTGCTTCTGCCAGTGAATGACCAAGGCTGATTGCGTCTTTTCTCCAGACCACTTTGTGTTATGACTCCAGGATGCGTCTTGAACCTTGTTTTCAGGAGAACTTTGTAAACAAGCCCTCAGTCTCCCAGGCATTTTGAACTATATGAATAATGGAAACATCATAAAATTTCCTGTTTGGAAAGAGGGGCATCTAAGATCCTTACGCAATGCACTCAGCTACTCACATTTCAGTTATTCTTATTACTCTCATTAATATTATTTATTGTTTCTCTTATTACTTTTCTGGAAGAACCAAGTATGGGTCACCTTGGCTTTAGCGAGCATGTGCACAGAGTTAGCTGAGAAACTGCCACTACACATATATATATTTTTTAAACTCCAAACATTACTAAGAATAAGGCTTGGATTTAGGACCTAAAAATAATTCAACATAAAGTTTTAGAAGAAATTGAAACTGCATTCTTCAGCATGCCTTCTGCATATGGGTACATAGATCTTAATGTAGGAGGTACATATTTATGGCCATGCTTTGTGGGTTTATCATCTGACCTTGAAATATAATTTTTTTTAAAGTGGACCTTCATTACCAGGATTGCTTTTCTTTATTTTTTTTTCTCTGCAGGGAGAAGTTAAAGATGTTTCTTCCTTCACTTCCTTCCTTCCTTCCTTGCACTGACCATGCTCAATGTGAATCTACAATCTCTACAACTTGAATGGATGAAGCATGTTAACAAATCACCGGGGAGCAGAGCTGAGGCTGGGGTGTTTCCTTCTAGATAGGACCAGGAACCAAAGCACATTCTTGGGAGGTTTTTTTTTGGGGGGGGGGGACAAATGGGGGATGGGGGAGTGGGGAAGTTGTTTGTCTTTAACCATGCTTAAGTAAGCCAATTTGAGACTCCACGAATGGAAAAAAAAAAAATAGAAGACCAACCTTTGGGCAAATTCTCCATTTTTAAAAAAGATTTATTTATTTGTATTGGAAAGGCAGATCTACAGAGAGGACGAGAGATAGAAAGATCAAGATCCTCCATCCACTGGTTCACTCTCCAAATGGCTGAAATGGCCAGAACTGAGCTGATCCAAAGACAGGATCCAGGAGCTTCCTCAGCATCTCGCGTGTAGGTGCAGGGTCCCAAAGTTTTGGATCACCTTCTGCTGCTTTTCCAGGCCACAAGCAGGGAGCCATTTAGGAAGCAGTGCAGCCAGAGGAACAAGAACAGGAACAGGGACCCATATGAGATCCTGGAGCTTACAAGAGAAGGATTAGGCAATTGAGCCCTTGCGCTGGGCCCAAATTCTTCATCTTTTGTTTGACCTCACCCCCAGAAAAATCCCCGGAGCTGTCAATCCAGGCCACGGCTTCGTTCAAGAAAGACTGGTTTGGTTCTTAAAAAAAAAAAAAAATTATATTATTTTATGACACAGTTTCATAGCCTCTGGGATTCCCCCAGACCCTCTCCAAGCCCTCCCCCCATATTGAATTCTTCCATATTGTTACAGTAGTACAGATCATATCCAGTCATGATTCGTTCATTGCGGGTATGGACCATGTGGAGAGTCCAGCATCTTATTGTCCAGATAAATTCAACAGTTTCATTGGGAGACCATCCTTAGTCTGAGAGTAGAGCTGGCAGAATATCATCTCCAATGAGATTTGACTACACAACTTAAACTGGAAGAAACATCGAAATTAACAACATCCCGACTGCCTAGGAGATCACAGGAAATATGAATGCCCTCGGAGGCTGAGAACTCTGAGGTCAGTCATTTCCTATTGGATTTCCCACCCGGGATGGTAGCAGTCTAAAACCCTCTCATAGGGCCTGATGACATTGGTTTGGTTCTTAAGGGTCAGAGCTCTAATCTCCAGATTCCCAAAGCGTGCCCAGGCTGACAGATCCTTAGGTAGGAATTCCTGGCACAGGTGCCACACCGAGGGACCGTGGCACTGGAGCCTGGCGGAGTTGAGCCCCTCGGTCTACTTTCTTCGTTCACATCACCCACAGCTCCTAGAGAAGTCTGAACCCAAACCACCTCACCCCCCAGGGCGAGAGCTCCCGGGATCACCAGCTCTCCTGAAGGGCACAGGGAAGCAGGCTACTGGGTACAACCGCAGACTGGCCCGCAGCCGCAGGCCCCTAGGGCTGGCGCAGACGAGAAGGAACGAGTCCAGACCACGGGACCTTCCTTGGCAGGAGGCCCACGCCCAAACTGTCCTTGACCTCCCCAGCAGTCTGAGGCGTGCGCCGGAGAAATGAAAGTAAAACCCGAGCTGGAGCAGACCCAAAAGGTAGCTGGCGACAGGTAGGTGGCATCCTAGGAGGGTTGCCACAGGATCGGTGGTGCGGTGGTGCGAGGAGTCTACTCCACAGGGGGCGAAGTGGAAGCACCAGACCAGGAGAGGAGAGATGAGCAGGACAAACCACCATTGGGCTGACGAGGCTTGTAGCGGCAGCCGGCTTGCGGTAGTACCTGTCATCTGGGGTGCTGACACAAGAGCCACCCCTGCACCCCACCCTTCTGATCCTCTGCACCCTAAGTCCTGAGCAGAGCCAGGCACAGCAGCCTGAACCTCGCCTTCCTCTGGAAGTCAGGGCCACTCACTCAGGGGACTCCCTCGGGGAAAGAGTCCTCAGAATCAATAACCTCGGGTGGTCACTGCTTACCGGGATGCATTAAATATCCACGGTTAGTTACTGAGAAAAAGTCAGCGGAGCCACTAGCAGCAGCAGCAGCAGCAGCAGCAGCAGCAGCAACAGCAGCAGCGCCAAGGGCGAGGTTCCCAGCGCCTTGGCCTCAGGGTCTCCGAACCACCACTGTTGGCAGAGCAGGTTGGTGGTTGACATGTCCTAAAAGGGGACATTAGGGAGCAACGTGGTTTGCTGATTGCTATTTGGGATGGAGTGTGTGTGTGTGTGTGTGTGTGTGTGTGTGTGTGTGTGTGTGTGTGTTGGTACTGGTGGTGGTGAGGAACGCCAGCCTGGCCAGGGGTCTGTCTCCCCTTTGGTCCATGGGACAGTTCCAATGGGAATCCCCAGACACCCGCAGGCCAAGCAGGGAGCACGCACAAATCTGAACTTTCCTTCCGGGTCTGCGCCCGGGAGGGGAGGCAGAGTCGAGAAGCTGCGGATGGAAGCGCACAGACAGGGGACAAACGTGTTCGGGCTGATTCCTCGTGAACAGGCACATCTGTCGGGGCGCGGGCCGGGAGCTTCCCTCCCCCTTGACGAGGTGGTGACCCCAACCTACAAGAATCCCCGCCGCACCCGGCGGCCACGCTGGCTGGCAGGGCCAAGTGAGGACTCCACTGTTCCCCACCTTCTGGGTGACTTGGGGAAGGGCACTTCCCTTACCTGAGTTTCAGTCTCCTGCCCGGGGAACTGGCCCCAGAGCCACTTTATCAACAGCCTCCCCACATTCAGGTTTCCTGCGGAGATCAAAGGGGGTAGGGACGTGACTGCTCGCAGATTGCAAACGAGGAACCGACGCGAGGCTGTATTGCACTCCTTGGCAGCCCAACCTCACGTTTGCCACGGGCGACTCGAGGCAGCAGAGCCAAGCGTCAGGTTATCCCCTTATAAGGCATAACTGGAAGACACGGGGTGGGGTGGTGGGGTGGAATATTGGCTATTCCTGAATTTCCAAACAAGCACGCCAATTCTGAGACTTCAGAGAGCTTTCCCTGTCCGCTTTTCAAATCCCAGTTATAGATTCAGCCTCTCCGAGTTTTGCCCGAATTGTGAAATCTTCTGCACCCCCGGCTCTGGGAGGCTCTGGGAGGGCTGAGGAGCCCCGGATGCTCTCGCCTCAGCTCCGGGCCCCTGCACCAGGCGCTCGGCGGGAGCCTGGGGTCGGGGCCGGGTCAGACGCTGAGCCGACAGGGGGCGCGGTGCCCTGAAGACAGCAGACCCAGGCTCCGGCCGTGCGCGCTCTAGCTCCCCGCCTTGCTCTTTGGGGTCTCCGGCTGGAGACCCCCGCACCCCAGGCACCCTGGGTCCCGGGAGGAGGATCCCGAGACACGGTGCTTCCCCTCTTTCCCGTTGGGCTTACTTTAGGAACCCTGCTCCCCGGCAGCCGGAGCTGTGCCAGTTTCTGCATCACCCTCTGGGAGCCCCACTTGGGGCCGGGGAGCACGGAGGATTCGACCCTTCCCGTGTCCCCGCCAACCCCACACCTACGGGCCCAACCCGCGCGCGCCCGACTGACGGAGCGCGCGCGCCGGAGGACGGGGGTGGGGGGGCGAGGGCAGCCTAGGCCCCGCCCCCTGCGCGGAACCCGAGCGCTTATAAAAGCGCAGGAACCCGATCTGGCCACTCAGTGGTTTCTTGGTGACACTAGGCGGAACAGCTCCAGCTGCCACTTCTGGCTTCTCACCGCAGTCGGGCTTGGACTTGAAGATTTGGCCATTGCCTAAGGGACAATCAGACTTTTTGCTCCAAGTTTTCGCCACAGCACCCTATCAGCAGGTAGGTGCCGCAGGATCAGCGGTTTAAAGCGGGCCCTTGTTCAGGCCCAAAACTGGGAGCGCTGGGAACAACCCACTATGGCAGGAGGTTGGGAGGTTGGGGGAGGTCCTTGGCGGGGTGCACCCTATATCCCGGGTGCAGCTCCTATGCACTTGCAGGCGCGCCAAATACTCGGTCTCCCTTTCGCTCTATCAACCAAGTTCCACGAAGTTGAGCGAAGAATCTCTGGGAGACTGGCGCTGTGCAGCGGCCTCCCCCACTGCACAACCTATCACCCGCCCCCACGGGTGCGAACGCTCCTGGCGCCTCTCTGCGCGCCGAAGAGATAACCTTTCGAGCCAGGCAGAGCGCGCTTAGCCCGCCCGCACCAGGGTCCCTGCTGGCCCAGCGCGCCGTCCGGGTCTTTGCAGCCGGTCTGGGTGCTCATGTTCCTTTCCTCTTTCCTTTTGCCAGGGTGTTAGCATTGCCGTCGGAATGAAGTTGGTTTCCATTGCCCTCTTGTTCCTGGGTTCGCTCGCCTTCCTGGGCGCGGACGCCGCGCGGCTCGACGTGGCGTCGGAGTTCCGAAAGAAGTGAGTCCCGGGCAGCGCTTTTGGGGTACTAGCAGAGGAGGGGGCTACTGATTGCTGGTCCCCAGGGGCTGGAGGTGACGGGACAGGGCGGTTGCCAGGACACACGCGAGTTCTGTCTGCTTCTGTCTTCCAGGTGGAACAAGTGGGCTCTAAGTCGCGGCAAGAGAGAGCTGCCGGAGGCCAGCGGCTACCTGATCGGGCTCGCTTCCCTGGAGGACGAGCCTGTCCAGTCCTTCGTTCGGCCCCTGGATGTGAGAGGTGCCAGCCGCAGCCCCAAGGCCAGGTAACTAAGCCCCCGTGGCACTGGGGGGCGGGGAGCGGGTGCGCGCTGTCTGCGGCTCGGCTCAGTTGTCTGGGGGTAGTTTCTCTCTTCCCCGGGTCTTCCACGGCTTCCCTTCGTGGTGGCTGGGGCCATAGCCTTGCTTAAAAGGGGTTTCAAGTTGCCTTCCTTCCCCTTTTGCAGCACTCCGGACGCCGCTCACGTCCGAGTCAAGCGTTACCGCCAAAGTATGAAAAATTTCCAAGGCACCCGCAGCTTCGGCTGCCGCTTCGGGACATGCACGGTGCAGAACCTGGCACACCAGATCTACCAGTTCACAGACAAGGACAAGGACGACACCGCCCCCCGCAACAAGATCAGCCCCCAAGGTTACGGCCGCCGCCGCCGGCGCTCCCTGCCCCAGGCCGGCTCGGGTCGGACTCTTGTGTCTTACAAGCCACGGGCGCGCAGGGCTCCAGCCTCCCGGGAGCCACGAGTGCTCACCACCCTGCTTCGGATGTAGGCGACCAGGCTGGGCGAGCATCCCGCTGGGCGAGCCTTTCGGGGCCCGAGGGCTTCGCGAGCCAGATGGGGACTGGACTGAGACAGCCCTGCACAGACCCCGGGTCCCAGAGGCACCGTCGGGCTGCAAGCCCTGCTCGGCAGCTCCTCCTCCCTTTGGCAACGCCGCCTTAGCCGGGAGCAGGCCCAGTGCCCCAAGGGGGCAGCGGAATCCGAGAGTGTGTGTGCCAGGTTCACGGAGAGGAGCGACTGAGGATGAAATAACCGCTCGGACCCCCACAGGGCAAGGGTCTGAGCCACTGCCCGGCCGGCCTACGGGGCGCGAGCCTCCCGATTACTTGAACTTTCCAGAATCTAGAGTGGAAAAGTGCAATGCGTTGTGTACATACAGAGGTAACTATCAATATTTAAGTATGTTGCTGTCAAGATTTTTTTTTGTAACTTCAAATATAGAGATATTTTTGTACGTTATATATTGTATTAAGGGCATTTTAAAGCAATTGTATTGTCCCTTTCTCCCTTTATTTTAAGATGTGAATGTTTTCGTGAGCTGCAAGATGGTGAGCGTGCGTGTATGTGTGTGTAAGCCTGATTACCTCTTATGGAAGAAGGAAACATTTTCAATATAATCTATTTACATTAAATGGGTGATATGCGAACAGCAAAGCAATAAATTGTCTCGATGCTGATTCATTTCCGACTGATGCCGTCCAGCGAGGACGGCTGGCCCTGACCCTGGTGCGCCCGGGAGCCTCGGGGTCTCGACCTCGGTCTCCGAGAGGTGGGAAGCGCTGGGTGCAAGGGAGAGCTGGCTTGGTTACAGGTCTCCTGGAGCGGGTGAGAAGAGTGGTGTCACGGGCTCTCTTCGCCACGTGGGGAGCCCAGACGCGGGTCCCCGGAGGTGTATGGGGGCGGGGGAGCTGGGAGTAAACAGAGGCTCCGAGGAGACGCGGGACGTCGCCGCCTCGCGTGGCAGCCGGGGCAAGGCGAGACAGGGTGAGCGAGGCGCTCCCGGACTCCCCGGGTTGCGCAACTGCGTGCCAGACTCGCGGCGCTGAGCGCGGCACCCGGGCGCGTCGCGTGGCGGAGAGCTGGAGCGGTGTCCGCGGCCAGGGCAGCGCCGGGCTGGTCCCGCGGTGGCGCGCAGCCGGAGGCGGGGACGACCGACGCGGCCCCGGGGCGCGCGGGACCTCGGACAGGCCGGGGCTCAGCGGCGGGGCGCCGGCGCCTCCTGCAGGCCGCCGCGGAGCTGGGGGCAGCCGGAGGCGAGCGGCTGTACGTGCGTTTTAATGAGTTCTCGTACGTGGGAGTCAGCACATAGCCCTCATGAAAGAGGAAAGAAAAAAAAAGTGTGCAGATGCCAACCAGCCCCCCCCACCCGCCTGCCCCATCCCCAGACCTGCACGGCGGCTCCCCGCTGGGGCCGGTGACTCAGCGCCCACACGCTGCGCGGCGAGCAGCTGCCGGCCGAGCCGGGTGGGACGGACGTGCCGCCGGAACCGTGCGCCTCCGACGGCCGAGACCTTCATTGTTCCGCCTCCCCTGGCCGCTCTCCCCTTCCTTCCTTCCTCCTTCCCCGGCCGATTTCGGTTTTTTTCCTCCGCTTCGTTCCAGCCTTCCTTCCTCCCCCGTGCTTTTCTTCTTACTGTACCGTGTCTGAAGGTCGCCGTTTCCCCACCCTCCTCAGCCCCAAGTTCCTGCAAGAGATGCTGGTTCCCCAATCCCCCATGAAGTGCACAGAAGGACCAGGAGACAGTGAGGGGCTGAGGGGAGACACCTCTGACGGTGATTTCTCTGTCCACACTGCATCCTAGGAACCCAGTGGCTTGCTCTTTCCGGTTCCCCTAGCCTTTCCAAGCGTGTCGTCGGTATGCCCAGCTGCTCTCAGGAAACTCCCCGGGGAGATAAGCCCGCACGTGAGTCTGGAGAATGGTTTTGTCTCCATTTAGCAATAGTCTCATCCTTGGTTTACGCATGCCAGGACTGCGCCGGAGAGGCCAGGATGGCGAGCTGTTTGCACAGGGAGACTCGTGCACATGGCTGCAAGAGCCACGTGCCAGGCCTGGGGCTCACAGACTACGATTTCAGGATGGAAGAAAGTGGACTGCGGCGGCAGGTGGAATGTCCCTGGGAACACACAAGGGTGATCCCTGTGTGAGGTGCGTGCTATGGATATCAGTTCTCACCCAGCTCCTGGGCCGGATTCCTCCCAGCCCCCGCACAACTCTGTGAGGCTCCTTGGGGTGGAGGGAGTCACAGATACAGACATAGATACTGCCGAGGAGGGAGAGCTGTGTGCAGGGCACTGGAACGTGGATTAAGGAAGTGGGACTAAAAATCCCACGCCTGTGAGTGGGTCCTGGGTGGGCTTGAGGCAGCCTAAGGGAAAATGCAGCGAGCAGGGAACGCTTCAGTCCCACAGACAGCGGCTGGCCGTGGCACACTCGCCCTTTTCCTTGAGCCAAGTTTTGTCCCTTAGCCACAGAGCTCTCTGGCCAAAACTCACCCTGGCAGAGTTACGGGCGGCAGACGGAGCTGCCAAGGACAGGTTGGGCACTAGCTAGCTACAGGTTCTGGTGGTCAGGGAGCAGGCAGCTAAAGCCTTTTGCCCGAGGAGTCTTATGACTTGAGGGAATCCAAGGCAAGTGAGGGGGATGGTTGATGCAGCTGCTCAGCTGGAGCCCTTCCTGCTACAAACCCTGTGACTGCAGACATTGCCCAGCGGACAAGAGACCCTCCTGTGACCAGTTCAGGATTAACTGAAGGTCACCAGCAAGCCCTGGGGCCCTTCTTTGAGAGCTGTTCACCCAACCTGCTGGTTTTTTTTTTTTCATAAGGTGCTGAGCTTATCAGCACAGCGGCCCCTTGATGCCAAGAACACATCATTTATCAAGCGTGCTGAGTCATTTGTGAGCTCATTCAACCTGTCCACAGCTGAAAAGTAGTCACGGCTTTTTATCTCCAGCGCTACTGTTGCTGGCTGTGGGAAGGGGACCCTCAGTTTGTCAGCAAACACGGGATACCAGGCAAGTTCTTGGAAAGCCAGCACCTGAGTAGCAGAGGAAGGGAGGGTGTGATGGTGCCTGCCTCGTGTCACAGAGCCTCTTAGTCGCTTTGTACTCCTTATCGCAATGAATTCTTGCAACAACCTTGTGAAGGAGTTGAGATTATCTCCTTAGATAACGAAACCTGAACGTCAGAGAGGGAAAGTAAGTTAGCCAAGGTCACACAGGCAGGAAGGAGTAGGGAAGCCTGGATTTGCACCCAAACGTTGCAGGCTATTTTGATGCTGTGAAGACATCTGGGGAGTACAGTGGGATAATTTTAACGGTTAGGTCCTTCAGCCAGCTGTCCCCAAATGTCCTCTAAAGAATGGCTTGGGTAGGTGACTTGCACCTGCGGTTCGGAAAGGTTCTCGGGAGGGTTGGCGGCAACAGGCAGGAGGGCTGCTTTGGCAGTAAGCTCAATGGGTACAAAGCAAACACATGGAGTGAGCTGGAAATTCTTGGTCCTATTTTGCAGCCGGGATAATAAATTAGGACTAGCCTTTCCCCCCTGAGCGAAGCCACTGACCTCTCTGGTTTGCGTTGCCAAATATAGTTAGAATATACACTGAAGGCCTCAGCGCTGGCTTCGTCGGGGAAGGCATTCTGGGCTATTCTTGGTCTTGCAGTCCCACACTGTAGGGCTTCAGTCGCCTGGCAGAACACCTGTGTCTACAAAGCTGCAAATAGTGTTGCCATCCCTGAGGTGGACCTTCTGTGTTGACAACTGCTGTTCAGGGCAGCTTTTCAGAGGATGTGCAAGGGGAGTCCCGGAGGCTCCTCTCCTGTCCACATCCCAGAAGAGGGGCCTGGCTATCCTGCATCCCACCTTCCACTGAGTGTCCACAGCTGGAAGAATGGCTGGGCCCTTGGTCTTCATTTGCATAGGAAGAAGGATGAGGCTGGGTAGCCATCTGGTGGTCCCATTGGTCTTGTTCCAGAGCTATTTTGGAACATTCTGGAAAAACAATAAAATGACTGTGGCCACACAGGCAGCTGAATTTAGTAGCTTGTTGGACATTTATCCAACAGCGGGAAAGTTTTTTTTCTGAATATAAGGATGAATTTTTAAAGCATTTGAAATGGATTTTTACTTATTACACAGTAAGTAATTGTGTAATGTAGACCCAAAGTAGAAAAAAGAGAAAGATTCACAGTTAATATCATTCCCAAAGATAGCTACTATTCATATTTTAGTATATAGCCTTTTAGACAATATTATATATTACTATATATGCCAGTACACACTTTAAAAATATTTATTTATTTATCTACCTATTTATTTATTTACTTTACTTGAAAGGCAGATTTACACAGAGAAGGATACAGAGAGATCTTCCATGCTATAACCTCGTTGTAATGAAAAAATGTAACTTAGTGGAGCTACTGTTGTGGTACAGTGCTTTAACTCTCCACTTCTGATGCTGGCATCCTCCATCAGAGTGCCAGTTCAAGTCCTGTCTGGTCCACTTCCAACTTCGCTCCATGGTAATGGCCTAGAAAAGTAGCAGAAGATAGCCCAAGTGTTTAGACCCCTGCCCGCCACATGGGAGACCAGGAGGGTTGTTGGCTGTTGATTGGCCTGGCCCAGGCTTGGCTTTTATAGCATGTGGGAATGGAACCAGACGATGGATGATGATGATTATCTCTCCCAGAGAGCTATTGGAACAGTGTTTCTGGGTGTTGGGAGTGTGCTTGGAGAAGAGAGCAGCATTTGAATCAGATAATCAAAGAAACAAGCTCCCTATTGTCTGGGCATCACCGGTGCTGAGTGCAAGGTGAATTCTTTCTTGAGCTCGGAAAGACTCTGAACTTCCTACTTCTTGGACCTTCAGACTCTGGGACTTAGACCATGCCAATTCTTCCCTCTGACTCTGTGTGGTAGTCACACCCTCGATGCCTGGACTCTGAGGCCTTTGGACTCCCTGCTTGTAGACAGCGTAGCTGTGACTTCTATGCATCTGTAATTGTACGAGCCATTTCCCATAACCAATCTCCTCCTGCGTGAGTCTCGCTGTTGGCTCTGTCAGCCTGGAGAACTCTCTCCAATACAGCACGGAGTCTCTTTCCCGCTACTGGCTGTGCTGATGGCTGTCAGAAGAATATCGGCTTAGTTTTTAAACTTCCCTACATTTTAATTTTAATTAAAAAATATTTTTTGTTTTTCATGATACAGTTCCATAGGCTTGGGAATTTCCCCTTCTTCCATTTTGCTTCTCTCCCCCATTCTCCCCGACATTATTGCAATAGTATAGTCCTTCAGTAACAGTCACAAGTCCAACATTCTGTTATTTAAGTGTATCATGACATTGTAGGTATAGACAATGGTAGAAAGTCCAGCATCATGTTGTTGAGACATGTTTAGTAGTTTCTTTGGGACTCCATCTTTGATTCAGGAATAGAGATACATTCTGCACTATATCTTCACTTCTCAGTTTGCTAGTCTCTCTTACATAGTTTACCCATATATCTATGGATCTTATATTTTGCATGAAAGTTTCCCGATCACCGAGGAATTTTTGGCAGATTTTTCAGTTTTTAGTTATT